TTCAAACAGGAATTAAAAATATACAGAGCGACACGCAGAGCCACTAGCGAGATCAAGGTCGACAAGATCACGAAAAGTTTTGCGGCTGAATAAAAACTTAACATTTAAATACGAGAAGGAAAAGTACGAAGTAAGGAAACTGAGAAGATATATCCATTGAAACAATCATGAAGCATTACCATGAAGATTTAAAGTATTTCGCAATAAACTGGTACAGAATAAAGGAAACTATGATATCGTATCTATTATATATCATATAAAAATATGATATCGTATCTATTAAGAGCCGTCACACGAAAAATACAATCATTATTCCGTTCGATAATAATTCCTCTCGAAATTTCGTTTCGCTGAGATCAGTCGATCAAGTTGGAAAGGTTAATCACGAACTATGCGGAGAGTACGGCATTAAGGATGACCTCGACTGCACAAAACTATATACCTCTGTTATATGCTTCCTTCACAATGACGCATAAGAGAGAATACATGTTAGCAATTTTTCATGACTAGAATAGTATGTTAATACTTATTGTTAGTGATCAGATAGTGAATCGTCTTTTCAAATACACTCGTATCACCTCTATTAACCGAGATATTTTCAATGTAGTAAAATATGTAGTATATTACTAGGTATTAATTTTATTATACAATTAAATGCTCGATCGCAAAATAAAATACAAGAATTTTATATGAAACGAACATGTCTATCTTTTATCCAATTATTCAATTAATCCCAATTCTTCTATCGAAATAAATCGTCAATTAGCGCTAATTTTACCTTCGTTTCGCTCATGGAAATATAATCTGTAAAAGGAATAGCAAACCACGCCATCCCAGAATTAGTTAAACCAGTCTATTATTGCGGCACCTCTGCAGTGATTTGCAATATTACGATACATATGTCTAGCAAGCATGTACAATAAACTAATGTTTCATTATATAAGTTTCAATTTTTTTTAACTATCAATTTTAATCAAGACACTGCCTTGTGTAAATCATCATTTTCAAGTCTCTTGCTTACGATTTGCTGATCTTTTTAGGAAGTACATGAGAATTGTCAGTTTCCCTGAAGCAATCAAGACTTATTGTTCAAAATAATTAATGAAGATATTCAGTATGCACATATCGCACGCACGGCATTAGAATTACAAAGAGCAAAGACTTGCGTGACCACAAAAAGATGCTTGGTCCAGCGTCCAAAATCATTGCGAGGGCAAGCACGTAATATCCGGTCTTAAGTGATCTTAGCACGTTCGCTTGGGCATCCGCTTATGCTCAAGAAACAGTTATCTTTTTATATCGCAGAGAAAGAGAGAGAAAAAGAAAACGAAAAAGAAAAAGAGAGGGAGAGAATGCACTATCGTAAAACTAGTTAACGGAAACGATAATTTACGCAATGACTGAGACTGTTTCACAATAATAAAAGTATAATAAAGGCGATATTTCAAAACACATTGATTGTTAAATAAATGAAAATGTATAAAGTATGTTTTGTAATAGAGAATATGTATCTAAACACCCATGCGCATCAAAAAATCGTCAAATAATATTTTCAATCTCATCCATTAAACTTGACATTAATTAAATTTTATATGAAGAATAGAAAGAGATGAAAAAAGTTTTCTTAAATTTATGATTAAGATTTTGTTACGAGTACGTTCTAGTTATACTCAATCGAGCGATGCGATCAATAATCGGCGTTAATTAAAAACGCGACATTCAATGCACATTCTATTCAATACTTGGACGATAACGTTGTACAATAGTAATTTATATATGATTTACGTATAAAGCAGTAAAATAGATATTTATATCCGAAATTCAGAAAGAAAGAAAAATATATATGGAAACAAGTAATATAGAAAATTACGTGAACTAAATTAGTTTGCGGTAACGGATCACAAAAAAAGAATCATTTTAACAAAAATAAGCAAAGACCATATTCGGTTAAAGCGGATCTTAGTGCCTAATATTTTTATGTAAATTTTACAATTTCCATTTCAAGCAAACTACGCGATTATTTGTCAATATTAAGACAATCCTAAATTGCAGCTGGAGTACATAATATCACAAATTAATTGATAAGCAATTTAATATTACACGGAAAAAATGGTTTTGCTGAAGTATCTAAAAATTTAGCTAGATAGAGGCATGAAAATAATTTTACGGAACTGTCAAAATAATTATGAAAAACGAACAAGCTGGTTGCTAAAATGTCAAAAATTTTTGCCGTATATTGCACATCACGTTTGAATTTCCTATATAATTATTTTGATGGTCCAACAAAATTATTTTCAGATCTGCATCTAGCTAAATTTTTAAATACTTCAGCAAAATCTTTCTTTCCGTACATTGTGATGTTAACAAACAAACATCTTTAAAATACTGTAAATAATTTAACAGTAAAAAGAAGATTATCTATTAATTTCCTGATAAAATAACAATTGTAACGAATTCTTCCCCTTTCGCGACAATTTATTGAAAGAAAAATACACGGAGGGCATCCGTAAAGAAATCTCATCGGCATACGATATTATTCAAAGTACAATTCAGCCGGATAATCTCGGTGAGCACAATCTCACGCGTGGCCGGAGCGTGTTGCATAAATCTCACGTGTATACGCGCGCGTAGACGTCATCGATCGCCGATTGAGTCGTACGAGTGCCGATTCAAAATTCAAGATTCGCGCTGAAGGAAAGAGAGACAGAGAGATACCTGTCCGCGGAGGGCGCGTTCATAGCAGAATCGATAACGGCGAGGAAGGTAGAGCGTCGCGGGGAGGCCACGACGACGATCGCGACGCACGTCGCAGGTAAATGGGTCGCGTGACGTGAAACGCGCGCGTGCGCGCGCGCGCGCAAGCGGACGCGTTCTCCACAATTCAGCACTTGGCTCCGATTTTCGCAAGAGCGCTGAGAATCATCGCGACCGGTTTCCGTCGATACCTCTCGAGCCTCTGGCGAATTTCGTAATTGTCGTCTCTCTTTTTTCCCTTTCTCTCTTCCTCCCTCCCTCCCTCCCCCTCTCTCTCTCTCTTTCTGTTTCTCTCACTCTGTCATTCGGAGTTGCTACATGTCTCGCAACTCACCTGACTACACCTGTGCGCCGTTCTCCGGAAGCGGCGTCCACAGTTCGCGGGCGCGAAAAACGATCCGTGACACTCGCGGACTGTCAAACCGTACGCTTAGCGGTGCGTACCGTGCGTGTAAAAAGGAGCGTAGAAGGGGGAGGGAATAAGACGGAAGGAGGGCGGTGATAAGGGCCGACGAAGAACGGAAAGGAACGAGAAGGCGATGCGCGAAAGAGGGAAATGGAGCAGGGAGAACGTAAGACAGCGGGAAAGAGAGAGGCAAGATTAAATCGCGAGCGACACGCGTGCGATTGATTAGCGTGTAATAATTAGTGGGATAAGATCAGCGTTAGTCTCGCGAGTGAGCTTCTATCGATAAGACAGCCGACTCTTGTCACGGGGGGGCGCGACCAGAGCTCGAGGAGAGCACGCGCGGCTCTCTATCGCGGCGGCATTTTCACTGAGGAAACGATGGCAAGGAAACGAGAGAGCTCTTCGTGGCGAGACCCCCCCAGCCGGAGCCCCGTTTTCGTAAATGCTCGGATACCCTGCGCGTATCGGGATCGGGAGCGACCGGAGCGGGATACGCATGCGCTTCCATTTACGACGAGCGCACGCGAACGTGCGCGGCGCGGCGCCTCTTATCAGCGACAGCGACACGTCGGCGCGGTGCTGCGGAACGTTTTCTCCCTACCACCCTCTTGACTATTGTGCGTGGGAGGGAAAAGGAGACGGGGTTTCGGGGGCACTACGATGAAAGGAGAAACGGGAACGAAGCAGGAGCGAAGTGGGTTTCTAGATTACCCTGAGTTTTTATTAAATGTTAATTATTTTATGGGAGAATTTCTTGAGACAATGTGCAACCGTTATTCAGATTTAAAGTTAATTTTATCTGAAAGAAGCAAAAAGAAGAGAAGAAGAGAGAAGATTTCTAAAACGTGATAATTTTATTTGGAACAATATTAAATTCGAGTGACAAGGATTTCTTCAATTTTTCTTCTATACTTTTAACTTCTGCAAAAAAGATTTCAAGACCTACATAAAAAGTTCTTATATTAAAAAATGTATAAAAATATAGTACGCGAAAAGAGGAAATTAATCATCAATAAAGTACAACACTGAGAAAAAAAAAGTTGTTAACTTAACTGAATGCGTTTAGTTCGTAATAATTATTTAGTTCAAATGTTTATATATTTAGATTAACAAAATCGTGTAATTTAAAATACGTTATTTGTTTGAATTAACAAATATTTGATTGAATTAACAAATATTTGGTTGAATTAACAAATATTTGCTTAACAGCCCATGATCGCTACATTTAGTTGAATCAACTAATATTTTTTTGAAACAGCAACTTTTTTTTCTCAGTGAAACAATTTAAACGTCTAAAAAACAATCTCATTTCTTCTCTTATATAAATACTTTTAAAACGTCTCTTTTTAATAAAATGTTAAGAAAGAAATTATACATAAAATTATTATCTAATGAAACATATTTATCTTATCTTCATTATTTCCTTCTTTCTTTCTTTTTGTTTTAAGGAGAGAGATATTATTATTACAGTCTTGTTATCAGTTTATCTCAAGAAACAAAGCTGGCGACAGTTTGTTTGTTTCTCTTATCTTTAGGTACTAAGTTGTAGAAAGAAATGATGCGATTTTAGTGTATTATAATCTTAAGAAAATATATATCCCATTATTAACATAATTATGCACAAAATAATTTTGTATTAATCTGCATATTATAAAATACGACGTAAAACAAATACAAATACAAAAAAAATATATCCTATTATCAACATGTGATCGTGCATAAAATAATTTATCAATCTTTATTAATTCTGTATATTATGGCTTACAATATAATATAGCATAAATTGCCAAATAAATTATCTATTTTCATTTACTGCTTCAAAATTGCAATGGGGGGGGATACATAAAATATACTCTCTAAAACTTCATACTCTCTAAATTGGATCGGGCACAGGAATTTTTGACATACGGCCTTCCATCATATCATTCAGCAGTACACTGATCTCCTGGAAGAAAACAATCAATTTAGTTTACTTGTGCAATGTCTAAGATTAACAAATCTTTTACGCAAGCTAACATTTACTAACTATTAAGCAAAGTTAATGAACAAACAAACATATACCTCTTCCCGCTGCATTCTCAATCTATCGATAATAGGCTCATTAAAGTTAGGATCATTACTGGGATCCTCCAAAGTACTTTCGTCACTCCTCGACACTTGCGGTATACGTGAGACGTAGATCTGTTTGATAGTATCTAAAATTGCCGATGGTCTCGTTTGAGGGAATTGCAAATCGATTCGTCCGAAAGAATCCATACCCGCCGGCATCATTAACGGTTTCTCACAATCCGTACACTTATCCTCCCTTGCGTTTCATTTCGTACAAAGACACAATGTCGAGATTAATCATAAATATAATTTATAAAATATAAATAAGCTCTTGGTGAATATTAAAACTTATTAAATCATACTTATTATTGGAACTTACATAAATGAAGAACCAAATCCATAATGAGATAATAAATCTTTAAGTCGTCGTACGAGAAATTTATCTTTAGAGGAATAATAATAAAGGCTCGCATCTAGATTATGAGCTATCGCTCTCAATATCTTTCCAATAAATTCTTTTTTACTCAAATCAAATTCCTATTACAGAAGTTAATCACAGAAAAAAATAGATAAAATTGAAATAAATTTACTCTAAAATGTTACAATATTACAAGAAGTTATAAAATTTATGCTAATTGTCTTTTAAAATATTGAAAGTTTAAAAAGAATATTAACTTACATATACTGTTTGAGTTTAATTTAAAACTTTTTAATTTTTTATAATATTATTATCTTCATAGCAATGAATTAAAATTACTGTAACATTTTTTTAATTTTATCTTTGTACAATGCAGACAAAATGTGTCGTCACTCTTTTTATAATATTGATACATATGTATTATATATTTATCAAATACCTTAAATTCATCATATCGTCCACCTATAATACACATTTTCATTAAAAACGGATCAACTCCACGTTCCAATTCTTTTTTTCTATCTGCTGCCCTTTTATCCCGTAATTCTTGAATCGTGTTAGTGTCGTAACTCATTTTCAAACCATTTCGTATTACAGAAAGAGCCTCCTCGAAGGAAGACCATAATTCTTCTGGTCGCGATAAATCTAGCATTATTAATAACACGGTGTGATGAGGGGAATGTGTTAATGTAGAACCTGTCATCGCAACAGATACCAAAGAAGAAGCCAAATAACCCACTTCCCACACGTGCACTATATTTTTCACCTACAGCAGTATACCATTTAAAAATTTAATAATAAAGTAGCGAAAAATTTGATTTAGTTAATAAAAATATACTAACATTTTTTATAAAAAAATTAACATATTAATAAAAATATTTATAAAAATACATTTTATAATAATAAAAATTTTACAATTATTGCTAAATAATTTCACTTTTATAAGTATATAAATTCATTTTCTAAAATTTGTAGCCAATATGTTTATAATTCTTCATTGCAAAGAAATTTTTTATCACCCATGAATGTATTTTTGTAAAAAGATAAATACATATATAGTCATCACTTACTAAACTTTTTACAGTTTTGCGACCAAATGAATAATCCATTGCTATAGTTGGTTTTGGTCTTTCATCTTTTTCAAGAAATCGATACACCATTGTTGTTTTACCCTACAAATGCAATTGGAAATGCAAAGTACATCGCGCGGTAATAGTATGCTCCTAATTTCATCACTTACAACTCCCTTGCTGCCAAGGATAATAATCGATCGTTCGTGAGTTTCATTTGGATCTGTCTTGCGTCTATTTTCTTCTTCTATAGCGAGCCGTAATGCAGTTTCTCGCATAGACTCCTCACTAGAAAGTTCATTCTATCGTAATTAGTTTTATAATGTTGAAAATATATGATGTTAGCTATCATGAATAAATATTATAAATAAAAAAGGCAAATAACGTTTATTTAATTATTCTTATATATTTATTAATTATTCTTTCAAAAAATTAGGAAATAATAAAAAGTATTTTTTTAAATATTTTACTTATCAATATGGCTTCAGATTATAATTATTTAATAATATATTAATACATTTCTTTTTACAAAGCTGTAACAAATTTAATATATATCTATAATAAATTAATCACCAGTTTTCTGCAGTCATTATTTTTAAAACACAATAAAGAATGATACTGAGAACTGTAGTTCTATTCGCACAATTCCATGTTTCTTCAGGTTATGGATATGTTTCACTTTGTATTACCATGGAGACGAAGGTAAGCGCTCAGCCGCTCATTTGCATCACTTTTATATGACATGTAAATTACTATAAAAAACAAATAATAATTGTATACATACGCAATAAAAGCCTTTTCGCATATAATATAGAACAATATAGAGCACATCTGTCTTCAATATATAACTATTTATTGTGTGTGATAAATAATTAATTCTTATTAATCCAATTCTTACTATGTAATCCTGGATTATAAAATTTGATACATTTTTAGAAGCAGTTTATTTAATAAATAATATTATACTGTTTCCAGTTAATGACAGTTAATTTTTAATTGTTTATGTTAATGCTCAGAATACATCACAATAGTACAAGATATAATAATTTACACCTACGTTAATCGCTCGTCTGCGTAATGTTTCAATATATGCGCGATGATCTAACGGAAAATTTCATCAGTCTTGATAAAAAAATCTACAAGGATATCTTTTGTAATCATCAACTCTGAACACTTTCATTTAGCTTCTTCGATTTCTTTGTGATATAAAAATGTTTTCAGAGCTTTACAACATGCCTCCGCTGAATCATGACGCGCATAACACGTGTATAATTCGCAAATTTATTTATGAATTAAATTAATTATTTTTTAATATATTTTCCTTGCATACATTATGTACAACTTGGACTAGACCAAATCAGGAATGGTGTATATCTTACAATCCGCAATAAAATTCAACAATTTATAAATTATTACATACGAGTGAATAGTTTCTAAAATAGCCGAAACATTTTCCACAATTAGAAAAACACAGTCTTTCATATTTAATTATTATAACAAATTAACAATTGCACAGGAATCTCATTAGTATATGTATAAACTAAAAACATTATATAATTACGCATTCTTTTTCTACAGAACTGTAAATGAATAGCACACATATTTTTATTATAATTTCTTTTAAATGTGGATCATATTATTACTTTTATTTTTAATTAATTATAATCAGTGCATAATTAATTTATATAATAATAAATACATAATAATTAAAACATTTGTCATTTTTTAGTTTAATTTGAATGTACATACATGTATGAATTTGGTTGAATCTGATTACTGTCTGATATGAAACTTTCATTATGAAAAAATGCCTTTTAAAGAAACGTGTAACTTTAAAAATACTGCACACACAGTAAATACGGTATCATACAAAATCTTACAAGTTATTATGTTTGGTCCTGTTACAGCACCGTTATATACCGAAACGTCTGCGAAATGTATCGTTAAATTACAAATAAATAGATGCTGTTTTTTGTTACATGCTGTTTTTTGTCTATACTTATTTTTGTCTATCCTGGAAAATAATATTCTCGAAGTTTCTATGAATATATCTATAATAATATATATAGATATATGTATATTCTACACTAATTTTGTTTGAACACTATGGTCAGTAAAAGTATTTGAGAGAGGTGAACATATTATGCCAGATTAGTTAATGTATCCACAAAACTACAGTTTTAAATATGAGCGATACCAAACAATATTTTAGCAAATTAATATCGTTTGACTCAATAAGAAATCAGCTATAATTGGAGTTTGTCAAATTCTTCCTTCAATACTAAATATACATTTTTAGAAACTTCTTATTTTTTTTCACATCAAACTAGTAAAGCTATGTCTAATCTGCCAGTATGTATAATAATTATTTTTTGTCATATTAAATTATCAATAGTTATTTCAAGTGTACTCATAATGTTCAAAATTCAACGCAAATATTTCTTTCATAAAATTCATCAGACAATCGAAGAGCATTGTTACTATGTTTCATATTTTAGATATAATGAGTAATACAAAGGAAGACAAATGCACTGATTTTTTTAGTCATCTTTTTCTATAATATTTCATTGCTTCTATAATGCAGTATATTACGCGCTCTGCATGTTATCTAGTCCATATGTCACTCATCCAATTATCATTTAACTCCTCATTTGGTAGAACTTTTAATTTTCTTAAGGCTTCAAGATAAAATGTAAGTTCTGATGTAACCACACCGTGTTGTGGACCACCATTGTTCACTATATTCATTTTAACTAGTTGCTCTCTAAGTTTCTCCTTGAATGATGAATTTACCGTACGGTAAAGAGATTGTACTTCGACAGTAGGCAAAATACCAGAAACAGCTTCATGAAGTTTCATTAGATAACTACAAATAAAAATTAAGTTTTGAAAGACAAGAATATTAGATACCATAATCGTTATAAATATTGGATATAAATATTATCCAAATACTTACCTAGAAATGTTTCTGAAAGATTTGGATGGCACTGGAGGTCTTGCTGTCCATTTAGATATTTGTCCGCCTAATAAATTATCCACAATAATGAGAATTTTTCCTTCAATTTCACGAACGTGTGCACGAATATCTCTTTCAACGCTATCTAATAGAGCTACTCCTCCACTGATACCAGACGTGCCAATAAGTCCTCGACTTGGATTTTGTTCCGTGAGTGCTGAAGTATTAAATGCGTACATAGAATATTTTTAAATAAATCTTTTCATATTTAACGTTTTATTTATTACTAAATTTTATATGTTTTTAAATTATATTTAAAACATAATAATTCAGTACATTAAATTACCTTGAAAATGTGCTTTCACAAAAGGCATAAACCACAATATAAGTTTAAGACTTCGTGCTGCCAATACGAGAATCGTGCTTGTAATGGTTTTCAAGCCCGCAACTTCCATTGCACCTGCACCCAAAACTAGTTGACAACATCGTGAATTATAATGTCTTAACAATTCGGCTAATTGTCTTCCTACAGTTCCAGATAAGGCAATTAATTCATTACCAGTCCTAAAAACAAATTATGTTATATTATGAAAGATTTACGAACAATACTTTGTAATTTAGCTTTACCTGCAGTATTCGTGTATCATCTGTATAAGCATCAGAGCAGTTCCAACAACAGCAAATTTTTCATCGCCAACTATGATAAAATTCCCCACGCTTTCATTCTTCATGCTGTCCTCACATGTAGGTATTTTAAGTGGAAAACGTTTTTTCTCGTATACATACGTTACTAACAACTGAAATTCTAATGGTACATCAGCTTGTTTCCATCTTTCAGATTCCAATAGTAGCGTCAGCTTAGTTTTGCGTTCATTATGAAAGCGGTGTACAAATTTACTTGCTTGCGCCTATAAAAATATGAATTATGCATTGACAGAAGAGTTATTCTATTTGATAAGTAAATTTTAAATGACATGATTTGCACAAATGATAATTACTTTAAACGCCGATCGTAACGCAGTACACTGTTTGCCGCAAAGTTTCTCACAAGTGTATGTAAATTCTTCGACCATATTGGCTAATAGGCAAACTTGAGCGGCTGTTGCTCTCTCACTCAACCAAGAGTTCTTATCATTCCAAGTATGATAGTCTTTATCCTCTAACTTATTCTGTGAAACATCAGCAATTATCTTATCCTTATCATTGTGGAATTTATCCTTCTCACTTGCCCCAGCTGAAAGTAGATTTCCCATTCGCTCATGGCAGTAATCACACACAGAAGTAATCATATCACAGAGTTTAGTAATCACTCGTGAATGTTCTTCTCGAGTCAATAAACGATCAGGTACGGATTCATCAAATGAGCCATCGCATAAACGTCCCGCTGATAAATCCGCGGTATCTTTCATTACATCATGAACTGCCTAATATAACAGAATATTTAATTATTATATATAATACACAGGTTTCTACATAATATACATATTTAATTTATTAAATATTCCACAGTGACACAATTTAAAAACAAATAGTAACTTATAATCCCAAAGTAATAATTGCTTTTAAGAAGTAAAAAAGTTTTATACTTGTAGTCACACAATTTAAAAAATCTTAATATTAATTTTAATGCTCGTTTATACAAAGACATTTAATATTAAAAATTAAAAATCCACAATAAATAATAAAGTAAAAGATAATAAAGGGGAGCATAAGTGTGTATATAGATATATATAAATATATATACATATATATGTGTTTATTAAATTGTTTACCTTAACTCGTAATAGAAGAAATGTGAAAGACTGTATAGTATTATGAAGCAAAGATAATCTTTCCGTCAATGAGAGACCTCCGACTTCGAGAGCTGCTGCTTGCTGATCGCTACAACAATCACTCGCTGCCAAAGCTTCTATCACACGTTGCTTTGTTAAGGCTCTTACAGTAGTCACAGCTTCCTCTTTGTATGTATCCACAAATTGAAAATGTTTCTGACGTAGTAGACCAGAAATGATGGAGACTAGTTTATCCTATTCATTGAAAATGTATAAATGATCTCACTGGGAAGAGATATACGGAGGTTTGTTTGCTAGAAACAAAGAATATAATGCGATGTAATATTTTTTATGAACTTACGCCATCTAAAACGGTATTCTCGCCACCTAATGGCCTATTGAGATCCGCTGTTGTGTATCTTTGAAATTCAGTCGACAGCATCTTGTCCACAAGCTTCTCCATTTCGGTTAGTTGAGAACTTAAATGTCTAGATAACATAAACAGTTTATAACAATTGTAAATATTTCAATAATTTTTTATCAATAAAATCATAGACAAGTACAATCAATTATAAAAATAATTTCTTCAGAATTTCTATTTACCTAAAGCTATGTATTCCGTTCAGTTCCTGCAAGAGAATTTCCTGCGTCGTAGAAATAAGATCTAATGCTGCAACATAATCTGGCGTAGACAACAATAATTGTATCATCGGTTGACTTTGATGCACAGTTGCCATAAGTTTTAATTTTTCTTGAACCAATAATCTATTAGATCTAGCGCGCTCCAAGCTACATAAAAACAGTAAATATCAAGTTAAATGTGTAAAACTAAATACATAATTACATAATTATTTTAATAATCCCACATTATTTTCAGATCTGTATTTAGTAAAATTTTTATACTTTAACAAAACCATTGCTTCCTTGTGCTATTAATTTATATTTCCATTTTACTTAATTTTATGTTTCTTTAAGAAATACTAATGTAGTAAATTTTTTAAATAATTCATACATTATACGTATACAAACTTACCGTAAAATTTCTAAAGAATTCTTGACTAGATGCTTATCGACTTGGTGAATATTTTTCCTAAGTGCTTTTAGAACCGTAATAGTTTGTGTGAGTTGTTCCATAAGCACATCATGAGATGTCATTGCATGGAAAAAGGCTTGAGATTTTGACGCAACCTGCTCGGCTATTCGGACTTCCACAACATCCAGATAGTGACTAAGCTACAGCAACATATTTTGTATAAATTAAAAACAAATAATAAAACATCGAAAACTTTATTTTTATCCCCATTTACGCACATTATCTAATTATTTTTGATATAATAAACATTTAAATCAAGAAATACAATGTCAATAATGAGCTTTATAAACCTCTGAATTTGTTTTTTTTCTTATGTTTATAATCACAATATACCTTCTCTTGCATTTGCTTCACGTGCATAACAATATTGAATTCTTCAGTTAAGAGGCCATCTTTCGCAAACGGGAACACAGCATCAAAGTTATCTTTTTGCGAAAGGTCTAAGTTTGGAACTAAGAAGATTTTTGGAATATTGGTTAAATCAAACTGTAGCCGATCTGAAGCAAAAAAAATGTTGCAATTTGTAATGGTAAAAAGTTATATTTTATAACTAGATAAAAATTGGAAAAATCAGTTATAAGTTTACATGACTATTACTATATCAATAAAAATCTAATATAAAGTTATTTAATACAAAAGCTTAAAAAGCTGATAAATTAAATTTATGTATAAATGTAATAAATATCTAATTAATATCTAATTAAATTTAAATAAACTTTAATTTAATATATAATGTTCTTTTACATCTTTTTCAAGATATATATATTTCTATTACTAAATTTTATTCTTTAATATCTTTTATAATTATTAGAGAATTTTACCCAATGACTTCACTTTCTTAAGATTAGGAAAATTTTGGAGCAATTCATTTGGAGTGGTTGGCCTGTTGGCATTCAAATTCATACGTGAATGTTTTCGATATCTCTGGAAAAACAAATAAAAAGTATACTATTGCTAAAATAGTAAACATATTGTAAATTATTACAGATAATATTTATTAAAGACTGTTGTATTGTATGAATTATTACCCTTGCAATTTTTTTCAGATACATTTCAAAATGTTGCATTGTAACTTCAGAAAGATATGGACTTTTTGGAATATCAATTTTCTCCACAAATCCATCTCCCCAAGTGCGAGTTAAAAAGTTACTCTGTTTTCCTTTAAATGGATCGTTTAGAACAGCTGGCAGATTTTGTGCAGCAGAATATACGGTCCATGATGAGCTTGTCTCGGATAAATCGCCATTGCTTTTTCGTTGCTGTTGCATAATTGCGTGTTTCATGGCATGTGCTATATAATCCTTGTCAGAAACACCTTCCACAGGAAGACTAGTGCATACTCCATTATAGCCATAGAGACAAACAAAAGATCCACCTTCTCTGGAACAATGTTGATCTCTCAAGTGGCTAAAACAAATTATAAAATAATACACTGTCATATACATAAAAACATTAAAAACTACACTTATTAAAAAACAGCATACGTCATCAAAAACGCTTTACAAATATTGTTTTTCTAATTTATATAATATATCATTATTGAGTGAAAGAACATAGATGCTCATGTCATTTTCAGCTGTGTCTCCAAACCGCTAATAAATTATGAAAAAAATATTATCTTGAAATAAAATCGTTGAGGAAAACCAAAGCATCGTAATTGATCGATGAAGCAGATGGACTCACCGAACAAAGTCTTGAATTTGTTTGAACGTCTGATTAGTACAATGTTCGCACAACAAAACCATGGGCACCGAATCGGACCCTCTCACGACTTTCGCCATTGCTCCTGTATCACCTCAGCTCACCTCAGCTCACCATTGCGTCGACAAGCGCGTTTCAGAGCACCAATTCACCCGGAGTCGGGAGTCCTTCGGTTCTCTGAATACACGGCCTCTTAGCGATTACACGTCCCCGCTTACAAATGCACACGTTTTATGATATACACCGATACACGTTGGCTAACTCAGGAACGGAACAACCGGCGCGGCGTGGCGAAGGTTACCAACTACTGTTTCGCACATGATTGACATGATATCCATCGTTAAATAAAATTTGACTATTTATAAACAGTGCGTGTCTAGAACATATCAGTGTGTCATCTGCTTCAATACAACGTGCATATTTGATGACTCATAAATTATAATTCATTTCTCAACACGAACAGTTTTTCTAATTACCCTGTAGACACGCGTCATGCGCAGACTAAACCAGACTAAACTGATGATATCAGATGGCCTGAAACCTGAAATAGGCTATTAAATGAATTTTACTCATAGGTTTAGATTCGTTTCTTCAGAGGGCGTGCGGATCAAAGAACCACTGCCATATCATACTTTCCATCCTATGTTACTCCGATTTTCCTTGCCAATACGTAGTTACAAAAGATACAGTCATTATCTGAAATATTCAGCATATCCATAATCAGTACAAGCAATATTAAATTTAATTAATAACATGTTCAGTACTGATAATTACAAAATAAATATTCCGCTAAATACAGCCCAATATGCTACTTTCTTATATGATTTTAATTAAATAAATTTTATACATTATATATAGATTATTTAAGAATTGATTTATAAATATTAAAAAATTTGATTTAATAATACAATTATTACTTACAATTAGTATATCTATTTACTTTCCTAACTGTTAAGATTGTAAAAATATTGAAAGATTAACCATTCCCAAAAGTTATCGTAATTATAAATTTTTAAATATTTTACAAACAATAAATTTACAGTAACAAAATAATTTGTTTATACGTATAATTCAAATATTAAAATTTTTTAATATCTTAAAAATATACATTTGTCATATATACTTCTGAAATTTATAATATTAATAATTTAATTAACTTATTAAATTTTGTTTAAATTATTATAACTTAACAAAACAAAACTAATTTAAGACAATAAGCATTTTACAATATATATTCGATTCCTTCACTGTAATACTTCCCTTTCCTTTCATATTATAATTCGGAATTTCGTTTATTTCATTCCTTAAATATGAAACAGTTATTTATATCGAATGCGAATTTTCAAATGTACATTTTCTCTAATATTGTTTATAACAGAACTTTTGTAAACCAATTTTGGAAATGTTTGTCGACTGATGTTTTTAATATTATTTATTTAAATAATTTAATTAATATTGATTTTATTCATTAAATTGTTTATTATTTAAAATGTTTGAAAAATACATACTTTTTTATTGATATAAATGATGTTTACTGTATGATGTTTACGAGTATCTCGTATTACGATTTCCACGCCTTATAGCTTTACGATCATCAAATCTAACTTCTATAATTAAACAATTTAACATATCCCGTATTTTTCTATTAGTACGATCTTACTCTATCACTACATGAAGATTTTATTCAAATTGAAGATTTTATTGCCAAATATTTATTTATTAAATAATAAACAAGGTTTAAATGCTCATCTCAATAAAACTTGAAGACATCCAAATTCTAAAATCTTGTTTTACAATAACTACAAGCATGATCTAATAATGAACTTTTTACTAAATAGTTTTCAATCCAAGAGCAATAAATTCATACTGGAACCAATAGATAACGTTTATTAGTTTAGCAGAAACGCTGCTATCTCATATTAGGCGCCTATCTCATAATAGGGGACTTTCCTCTACGTATTACATCGCGTTTGCTATTTTCATATTTTACAATTTTAATATTTTATCAATTTTTAAATGGTTTTAAAAAAATGTATACCATTTAGTTATTTAAATTTTACGAAATGAAATAAGAGAACGTTGTCATCTTACAGATTAATCTATTTACAGTAGGGGAAAATCACCGATACCGACATATCACTTTATTTTTAGACAATATTTCTTAAATAAAAGGTAAAAATACAATTTCAAAAGCACAAATATAAACTAAAAAGTGTCTTCTATCAGATAGTATAAGGAGTTTTTATAATACTGTTTGCAATTTTACAATAATTAATAGCGATTTCGATTGGACGCACTCAGTGCGCACTGGTGCACATTAAAGCCGTCGTACACGAAATAACGTAAAGATATGTTTATAAATAAACATAGAGATCGATTAAATCGTGAAATACTTAATACATTTTATTGTACTATTAGGTAAAATATATATTTCATAATTCGAAATATTTGCATGTCATTTTTATACTTAAATTAAATTAATGTACAACGGCTTTAATATGCACCAGTGCGCACTAGTTCTTCCAATCGAATTCGCCATAAGTTTTTCGTAAGTTAAGCAAAAATGAGCGTCTGATAAAATGGGCTCCAAAACTGACATAGTAGGTAATTGTATATACATATATATATATATACATATAATGCCAACATTCCTATTCCATAAATAAAGATATATCCTATTCTGCAAAGAAAACTAATTTATGAAACTATAAACATTTTAAATGACATAATATTATCAATAATACAGTCACTATTATTTTAATTACGCAATTCGCAAAACAACACCGTAAGAATTTTCTTCTCGGATTCATAGAATTTGTTTTTAGCTGATTTGGTATAGAAATAAGCCACAAATATATGAATTATGAGTTTGTACTTCTTTAATTAGCTAAACAGATCACGTTTTTATTAGTATTAATAAGGTGCAAAGGTTAGTTTCTAAGAAATAAGGGGATGTCGCTTTAGGAGAACTATGTCAGTATCGGTGACCTTCCTTTACTTATTAGAAAGCAATTGCATAATTTATGCAATAGACTTTCACTTGCATGATAAGTATAAATATGCCATAAATAAACGTAAACAACACTTTCGTATATATGTTGCAATTTTATTTCCTGTTACATGCGGTATTGCTGCATGCATTGCTTATATAATGTCGTCTTTAAAAAAGAATGTCTCTTACACGAGCGATTTCTTATATTTATTACAAAGTTATCTCATAAAATTTTATTTTTACTTTTCGCATTTCATGGTTTATTTTATCATTTGCTGTATCCTTTTTATATGCACAATTATTCTAATTTGCATTACCATTCTGAACTTTATTATTGCAATAATTAAATTGATACCATTAATCTCCAAAACGAAAAATGAATAAGTTATTTCGTCGTTTATCTTAATCAATTTAATTATTTGAAATGGCACTGTATAGCGTATGTGTAAAATCGCAAAAAGATTCAATAGAAATATCTGCAGTATCAAAAAAGATTTAACTTAACAAAGAGGGGTAAATGGCAGTCTGAAAATCATATAAATATAATAAAATATTCTCTTTGTAAGTAGTCAAAAATAATCATTGCCAAATATATAAACAGTTTTGTGTGTTATTAATAATTGACCAATTGATCTTCATTTTTTTGATTGCTATCTCATTTGGCAATAATCCAAAATTTCTATCTCAATGAAACAGATGTTATACATATGGCTGATTTACATAATAATGATATTTGGTTTTAGCTGCCGATTATTATTATTTGCTCATTTATTAGCGTGGTAGAGGTGGTGGTGTCGGTATGATTTGGCCGAGTTGCGAAGTTTGCCTCGTCTGCTGTTGCTCCTGTTGCTGTTGCTGATGCTGACTCCGACGTATTTCATGTGCCAGTAATTTCTGACGTTTTTCTTCCATCAGGCGCTCACGGTGCTTATGAATATAATCGTATACATTTGGAAGACCCATAATCACACAGGCCGACAGTGCTGATCTGCATATATTCATGTCCGTTGCTTCGTACCTACATTTACAGTTATAGGAACTAATATAAATATTATAAATATAATATATGCTTGAAAAATGAAACTTGTAAACTTGTTACTAAACTAAGATTTTTATACAAACATTTTTTTAAATCGCTGCTACTAAAATATGCAACTATTTTTAGCTCTATATTAATCTTTCATATAAATTTTATAAAATTCAATAATAAAAGATTCATGCAAAAGAATAATTTATTACCACTCGTTTGTTTTCTCGTCGTAGCATTCCACTTGGTATGTTGTAGTAACACCATTAAAACCACCGATAGCAAAAATCATATCGTCAATAACTTCAATGGCGAAATTGCTACGCGGATTATACATATCGGGAATATGGCTCCAGCTGTTTGTAGAGGGTTTATATTTTTCTCCACTGCACATCCTCGATATTCCGTTAAATCCTCCTTTATGAAAAAAATTATTAGCCTTCTCATAATTAATAAAAATAACAATGTAAAATAATATTGCAATAAGAAAAACAATTATAAGAGAAGTGAATAATTATGAAACAATTTAAGCTATATATATAGATATATACACATATATATTAAAATAGTTTTGCACATAAGAAAGAATATTTTAAAATTAATTTCCTCATGTGTAAACGCGTTTATACATAAATAGTGCAAATACCGTAACAAAATTTCTCTTGTAACAAGTACATGTTTTAATACCAATAACATAAACACAGCCGTGATAAGATATGCACGATACACCGCTCCTTCGTGACCTCATTGCTGTTATCATTGTCCACTGGTTGGTGCTTGGATCATATACCTCAACCGTATTCATACAATCATGTCCATCAAAACCGCCCGTAATATATATCTTATCTGTAGCGCATAAAAAATTTACCAATAAGCTTTATAATAATTTTTATATAATATAATAGAAATAATGATTTTTCAAGCATTTAAAATTTAAAAAATGTATAATACGTGTATATTTGTACTCATTCCTCTTCACAATAAATAATTTTATTATAATATGTATTCTTTTTTCTTTTTTAATGTACATATATTTCAAAATTACTCGTACCTACATTTATTTTGTTTTTATATACAGAAGTGAGAGATTTTCACATGTTATTAGAAAGAATTAAAAAAGTTTACAGAAAGGATACCTATTATAATATTTATATTATAAGACACTTAAAAAATCTATTTCGTAAAAAATAGAAAGATTAATTATGTAGTTACAACCGGTACTTTTAGATAATTAAAATAAACATATCAAGACAGCTTATAAAAAATCAAATAGTACCATTTAATGTTGTTGCACTCGCGTCAGATCTCTGCACGTTCATTGACGCAATAAGCGACCATTGATTTGTCTTGTAATTATAGCGTTCCACTGTTTTTTGCCGATGGTATCCATCATATCCTCCCATTGCGTAAACCAGATTGTTTAAGACTGCCACGCTGACATAACATCTGCGACAATGAAAAGATTCTGATGCGAGCGTTCATTGCTAATGATATTATCAAGGAGCTAGTCACTAAATCTTAGTTCGTATTTGTATAACGTTTGCATACAGTTTTATTTATATTTTTATGTAATTTTCTTTTGTCTATTGTACATACCTTATTACTGTGACTATACAAGGTGTCTCACAACTACCGCATTTCCTCTTAAGGACGTATTCTTGAGATAATTTTGAGACGAACATCCTAATATGAAAATGTCGAGACTACAACAATTTTTTAAATTATAAGCTAACTTTAAATGCTTATAAGTCAAAAACCATTTCACTTTTATAGTCTCTATTATTATTTCTGGATTCTTTTGAACATTCTAAGATGAAAATCCTAATACGAAAATATCGAGGCTATAATAGTTTTTTAATTACAAATCTTTAATCAATTATAATTCAAAAACTATTGTAGCTTCGACATATTTGTATTAGGATTTTCGTCTCAAAATTATCTCAAAAATACGTTCTTAAGAGGAAATGCGGTAAATGGTTGTGAGACACCCTGTATAATTTAAAAATATATGTTTAAAGACAGCTGTAAATACATATCTTATATGTTCCAATACTATTTCTTTAACTGTTTTTATCATAAATAAATGAATAATAAGATTAAAATTATCCAAATCACAGGAGTAGTGACTAGCCCCTTTGAAATATATTTGACCTTCTAGCGTTCATGGGAGCAACCTCTCGCCACACCTTGGTCACCGCATTAAAGCAACGGCAGCTATTAAAATAATCGACGCCATCAAATCCTCCAATAACGTAGATATCAAAACCAACTACCGCAAGTCCATGATAAGCTCGCGGACCAGTCGGATCTGTTTCCTCGATCTAAAAACTCAAGATTTTACACAAATAAATTCTTAAAATTTTATTGAAATAAAGTAGAAATTTTCTTCAATTTTAGTACGCTTTACAGCGTACACGATTCAAGAATAATGCGAGGCTACAATTAATTTCTTTTTTAAGGATTAGATCAGAGATTCCCAAAGTATGGGTATCACGTCTCACTAACTGATTTTTTATAAGCTGCGTGATATAAATAAAGTAATATAAATAATTAATTAATTTACCTCGCCTTTTCATATTTGCTAAAACTAGGTGGGTCGCAAATGTTTGCCGCTTTAAAAATTAGGTCGCAATTGCGATACAAGTTTGGGAAGCTCCAGACTGGACAAATAATAATTATTGTATTTATTTCCATATTTTTTCAATTTTTACACTTTGCTTTTCTTTGCCTTATTATGTTATAAATGACAACAAAAATCCAATCTTGCTATATCAATATTTGCAGTTTATTAAAATTACGTCGAAAAAACTGTAAAGTGTCTAATACTACCGGAATCCATCGATCTGCTCTCGTATCATACGTCTCAATATAATTTGTTGGAGAGCCACCACTCCATCCACCAATCGCAAACAGAATCTCATGCGGGACTCTGGGTCGTGCAATTTCCGGCGTTGGTACTTCTCCATCTTTCTGTGTAATCATCTCTAAATCATACAAAAACTTCAGAGTTTCGATGATAATGGGTCTGCATGCATCGTTGCCCACGACATAAGGATGATCCTTGACATTCTCCAGAAAAAACTGCGTGTCTAAGAGACCGAGTCTGATATTCTTCATTAAATCAACGATATAATCTTTTCTAGATTCTGGATTGTGATTTATCCATCTCAGAACTAATTCCCAAACTGTCTGCTCGCTTTTAACATTTAATTCGTCGGCGCCAACTAATGGTTTCAGTTCCTCAATAGGTAAATGTAAAATTTCTTCGCTTCTTTGTGACACCTAATGTAAATCAAGAGAAATTAGATTATGAAGAAATGATATACGTAAATTATTATACTAGCCGCACCTCAACAAAATGTCCTACAATAAAACGGTAAGCATCATTTTCTAGCTTCTTGCAGAAATGTTGACGGGCAAATCTCATCACTCCGATACAATTTTCCGGTGCTAAATTATCTCTTAGATAGTCACAGCATAAATCGAGTACACCTACAATGCTTAGATAATCCGCCGTGGTCAACAATTCACATACGTTTTCACGATTCACATCAATGGATCGTAAATATGCATATTCGAGCAGGAGATTCATCATTGGACTTGTCACACCTGGCAGAAGGACATCAGTTTTTTCACGAGAATGCAATGTAGTTGTAAATAATGTCCTGTAAAATTAATTTACCAATAAAGATGTGACAGTAAATGTATATAGTTATTGTATAATGTTAATAACTTTATTACAAAAAAATGTAATAACAAATCCGAGTAACAAATTATTAAAATGTTATTACTTTTTATTATTTTTATAAAGAGTAATTGTTATTTTATTATAATTAATCAATTATTTTGTATATAAATTCAAATAATTTAATGTAAAATCCAGAGAAAATACATCGATTAAAATTACACCTGAAATAAGTACTGCATGCCGAAAGTATAGCTCGATGAATTGGAAAGACACCACCATCTTCTAATCTTAATATTGCATCGCAAAGCAGATTATTCTGTCGGAAATCATAAAGCGATTGCATTGCTTGCGTGCTCATACAACGGCCACTACTTTCGGCTATCAAACGTTGGTTATTTGTATTATATTTTTCGTTTTTTTTGTTACTAGTAGTTGGCTCTGCATCCATATCAAAATTTGAATAATTGAAGGGTTTAGTTCCCGCAAAGATAGCGATACGATGAATCACAACATTTAAATAGTTTGATTAAATTAATTGATTTCTTCAAGAGGAACCTATGAAAAAAGAATTAGTAAATATTAAATATATAAGGTATATTGCAATAGATATTGCAATATTGCAAAAGATATAAAAAGGATAGAAATTTTATAATTAAAATTAAATTATCTTACTGATAATTTGAAATTTTATGCTAATGTTGGAAGTAAAATAATATAGGAAGATATATTACTCAATAAATTATTAATAAATTACTAAATTGTATTGGTTAAATATAAGAGTACAGTATTATAAATGTAAATAGATTTAAATTATTTTACAATTTGTCTATACTAAACCGCTTTTTCAAAGTTTTATCCTATATTTATTAATTTAGCTTGCATACTTACCCAGTAGAATGTTTCCTAAAAATTTAGAGCAATCGCGGAGGAGGTTAACAAATTGTATTAATCGTAATGCAGGTTTAATGACAACAGTTTAAAACTTGATAATTTTTTGATTTGGAATAAAAACGTGGTTACAACAAAGTCTTGTTTGTGATCAATTGCTGAGAACAATTAGTAATGCTTGAAAGGTACTGCCGTGTGTGTTCATATGTGCTGAGAATTTGGAATGTGTCAAAATTTTGACACGTGGGCGGCGGAGGATTGAAGATCAATTCGTAGACTGAAGAAATGCAGAAGAGTGTAAAGGGGGAATGAGATCGGTGAGGGGATTGTAAGAAAAATACGAACTATTTTGTAATGATTTTAAAAGCGAATAAATATCGCGCTGGCAGTGACATGTGGTCTTACATGTCCGCTAATCAATCAAAGACTGCTGCTTGACAAAAGAGATCCTTCTATTCCTGCTTCATAGCGAGCTTGTGCAAGTATAAATTGTGTTAACTCATTTTAAGGATACAAATCAATAGAAATTATAAAAATTTATAAAGCATGTCAGTCTTAATGTATCGATTAAATCAAGCAGCTATAATAAAACAATAGAAAGAGAATTAAAAGATATTTTATAAATTTCATTATAAGCGTCTACGCCCAGTATATCAAATATATATATAATGTGAGATCTACAGTAGAAGTCGTAGCGGTCGTAGAGTCTTAAATCGTAGAAAATTAACCAATCACACTTGAATATGAGAAGAATAATCGACTATGATTGGTCAATTTTCTATGACTTAAGACCCTACGACCGCTACGACTTCTATTATAGACCCCGCATAATATACACTCACATTCACACAAATGTATAGTCATTTCTCTGCTTACTCAATTACTTCAATTGTTGAATTGAAAATACATTTTTCTAGTAAGTTTCTAACTTTAATCCAGCTCCAACTTTACATTCTTAACGTAAGAACATACTTCAATCAAGCTATCTAGGTTGGGACTTACAAGTGGTCCAGTATCGAATGTCGGAATTTTAATATTGGCAGGCTACTATATGCCAATATTGATTCAATATTATCGTAATATTGGAATGATATACGAGTATCTGGTGCAATATTGATTGTCAATGTCGTATCTATTAGAAATTTGGTATTGTTTCAATATTAGATATATGCTAGCTCAATATCAATTAACAATGTAGAACTAGTATAACTTTCAACAGTATTATCCCAGACAGAACAAAGAATCAAAAAATAATTTTTTTTAAATCTCTGAATTATGAAATCTTTTGCATCTCATTTCTAATCCAGAAATATTAAGAGTACTTCCAAAGACTTTCATTTTTGTATTATCAATTCTGAATTTTTTTTCAAGTAGAAAAGGAAATTTTTTTTAGTTTATATGAATAAATTATATGTCAATTAATATTTTATTTATTTTTATAATATCTCAGAGCCCAATTTTGAGGCAAACATCATCTTATTATCATTTTATTAGAACATAGTTATTACATAATACTGCGTCTTTTTGTGTGTTCTATCTTGTATAGTTTATATACTTACAAAAAATAAAACTCTGTTGTGCACATATGGTAAGTATAAAGATTCGCTACTGGTACTGTATTAATATAAAGCTAATACACATTCGATATATCGGACAATTGTTATAAAATAATATTATTAATACCTGATGGATATTCGACAAACAGAATTGCCAGTACACCGGTGTCATTCATGGATGTTTTATTGTCAACAGCAGACCAACATGGCCTTTTTTCTGATGTTTGTAAATCCCACCTAAGAACTCATCCATTTTACGCGTTGTCTCGTGATATATGTATGTACATGTCATTCCCTTATTTTAAAAGTGATGCAACTCAAAAAAATAAGTTTCCTAGAAGAAAGGAATTATTATTTTTTAACTTGACAGAAAGTTATTGAATAATTAAATAATATATTCCTGCAAAAGAATATTTTCTTAACACGATTAAACGTCATTTCTTGTGTCATATTCGTTTCATAATCCTTAAAAAATCATCCTTTTTGTAATGTTTTAATGATATTTTATGAAGTTAAGTTAATTCACTTTTGATGATTGATAGGATAATATTTACCTAACTCATTCATTGTAATAATTCAAAAATCATTTTTTTTGTTGTATTGTTTTTTAAGTAAGGGAGCGATATGTATATGCATTCGTCATTAATTAAATTAATTATAAGAGAAAAATCTATTTAAATAGATATTATATTCCTTTCTTACACATATTGCACTAAAATACACATCACATGTTAGATTTCGTCAACTGCGGTGACATCAAGTATTATCTAGATTTGAGACATCGAGTACGCGTTGCAGATTACAAGTACACGTGTTTATGACTATCTTAACATTGTCATAGTCCTTTTTTTCGTCGACATAGTCATCCTCCTCAACTCCTTCATCGTTTTTCGATTTTCTTTTTCTCTCCTCCCAACTCTCGGATATATTCTTCTGCTTCAACGCGTTCTCATACTTACAACCCGATCGTCTGTAGTTGTGGACCAAGCAAGCACTATTATCTGGCATTAGTTGCCTGCTAATCGGCAACATAGATCCGACGGAGTATGATGGAGTAACAAAACCATTACTTCTCGAAATACTATCAAAGAACACGTTCCACTTACTAGCGAAGGATTCATAACCTTTTGTCGCATGGTTTTTCGTCTGCACCGTTCTCAACATGACATCCTTCCTCTTCGGTACCTCATTTGGTTGTTCACCAAATAATCGGAACGTCCATGTGACTACAGCGAAAGTCGCCGCGTTCGTTGGAAACGCTCGAAGAATCGTCGAATTCAAGCCCCGATACAAACAGCTGTATCCTTCAGCACGAATAGACTTCTTGAGACAATCCAAAGCTCCCGAGTAACGATTACTACTTTCCGCTTGTATGCGCGACTTGATGACATCAATAGGATAAGAAATCACCCAAGAAGCTGTACCAGCAAATCCTCCGGCCAACAACATATGAAACGTCGAAATCGGTTGCTTCGAGGACGTTTTGGTTAGCATCTCATAGGTCACGAAGTACACACCATAACTCGGTCCTTCCCTAAGGAATGTAATACCTAGACCCTTAAAGACGCCACGATAACCATCCTGCCTATAGATGTTCCTCAAGCACTGCATCGGTCCTTGAAAATTACCTTGGCTCGTGGATTGCAATTGCAGACGTGTTTTTGCTAACTCTATTGGACTTGAAACAAGAGTTTGAGCAAACCCGGCAGATGCACCAGCCAAGAAATACGATGACAATCGATCAGGTTCGGATAGGTTCCGCTGAGTATATCCGTAAACACCGAAAACAATGGCGTTTACCACAGCCACCCCTGCGATTGGCGAAGTCATTCCTTTATAAAGGCCAGTCACCTACACGAAAATATATAAATAATAATATTAATAGATTTTACCTACAAATGTGAAAACGACTGAACTTTAAATCCAATTTGTTGTAATAAATTACCGATTCTTTCGCGAATATGGTTCGCAAACAATCCCAGGTGCCTCGATATTTTGGATTGCGGCAGTCTTGAGTCTGCATGTGGACCTTGACCGTATCCAAAGGATATCCCACCATAATACCGGCACATCCTAAAATTTATAAGATGGATTTTATTATGTGATATGTTTCCCAAATAACACGCATGTCTCAAATACGTCTTCAGATAGAGTAACTTCAATATATGTATATGAGGTATCTACATATCAAAATTTAATTTATCAAGTATTACTTACTATGTAGTATTACTAGTAGTACTATTAAGGTAAATAAGGTATATCTATACCAATAACAATGTTGTTTGGATTGCTGTATTGTATTTTTTATATTTATTAAAACTTTCCTGATGCAATAAAAAGATTGAATGATTTGGCAACATTCTTTTAAAGATATATAACTTGTTCTAACAAATTAAAACGTGAACTGATATAAATTAGCAGAATTATTAATTGCGTCAATTTGATAAAACAGGGAATTATAAGTTTTCTAAATGTGTTAGTCTTGATCTGTGATAACCAAGTCATATGATAAAATAATTGTTTGTTATTATTGACCATTTAAACAACTCAGTACCAAATTATACAGGGTGCTCAACAGGAAAATGTTGAAACTAATCAGCTGTAATTCTCGAATCCCGTATAGAAAACGAATAACTTTAACTTCTATTAACACAATCTGAATCTTTTTATTTAAACAGCTTAAATATCACACGAAAAGTGAATGATGAACTTCCATTACTAATTGTAAGTGCACGTTTTTATCAAACGAACGACAAATTTTAAAAGCAGTAAATAATTTTAATAATATAAATTATATCAAAACACTTAAAAAAAACATAATTAAAGTTTCAAAAAATATACTTAAATCAGTAATTTAATTTGTATATACACAAAACTTTACCTCCCAAACATCCAGCAAGAAAATCAAGCGAATAAGCCATCTTTGCCCCGTACTATCTGCAATGACCTTCCACTTGTAATATCGTCTGCTTCTATAAGGCTCGTCTTCAAATCTCGTTCCTTTTAAATATGCATCGAAAGTTGTATATGTTGTAGATCGGTTAATTATAGAGGCCAATAAATTCGAATCCATGAAAGACTGATAACTGATTCCTTTAAATTAAACTTTAAACAAAATAATATCCACTTGTTCCTGAAACAATTAGTCAACAATAAAAAATTTTAAACCAGCTAAAGTCTATTTTGTATTATAGAAATATTTTAATTACCGATTTTAACAATGTTTTATAATTTTTTTTTAAATATTATTAAATATTATTAAATATTATAAAATATTTACTTTTAAGTGTTTTAAATATTATCAAATGGTTTGCAAAAGTAAAAATTAAATTATGGCAATATTTTGAATTAATTTAATAGAGTTAGATATTTTTTTATTCCTTTTTATTTTACATAGGACATTTTTTTTCTAGCATCGATTTAAACTAAGTACGTTTAAATTTGTTATAAATTAATGTATTCATATAT